TAATTAGAAAAAGAAAAACAGAAAATGAAATTGCTTCCATGGTGTGGGAAAGAAAAAGGAGCAATAACAATTACCTCAAATTACATAAATCACTAAATAAAATGTTATATCAATTGAAATATATATACCTTAAAAATTGAGATTTTAAAAATAAAAGAAAAAAAGGAGTAAAATTCAGCCATAATGCATCTTGTACTATAAAATGGCAATTTTTTTGAAAGAAAGGAAAAGAATGCACAAAGATCAACTTCTACATTTACTAGTAATTTGTTTGGTTTAATATTATTATTTGAATGTGTATGGGAATGGGTAATTAATGGGTTTTCGCCCCATTGCTTACCAACAAACAAAATCAAATAGGGTAAGGACACTGAGCAGAGCAAAATTAGACAGTACCTTTCTTTTTTGCGAGTTACCCAAAGTCCGAGTCCGACTCCCCAGTCCTAGCCTAACACATTGGATGAGGAATGCGGTCGATAAAGGGCTGGTAGTCTTCTTTGCAGCGTTTTGAAATAATTGAACATTTGAAAATTTTCAATTCCTGCAAGGTAGTACTCTGGAGAATATAATCTGGCAACATCTTTAACTTCTGACAACGATTAATTGTCAAGGAAGAAAGACATGGCATGATTGTGATATCCTCTTCTCCTCTGCTTTCATAATCCCACTCTTCCCAGTCTTCCATCGTGTCAAATGTCAGTGACTTCAAATTGGGGAAGGCAAAAACGGATGATGAAGATGGAGACAAAGACGTTTCTATCCCCAAAAATTCAACTCCCACCTTTTTTACTTCAAACACATCAACCAACGTGAGTGATTCTAGAGAAGGCAATTTCCCCAAAGGAGGCAAATGTTCCACGTAGCAGTATTCGATCACTATATGCTTTAGGTTGGTTAATGGGGTTATCCAACTTGGGCTAGACCACACAATTGGATTTGTGTGGCCCACTATTTCTAATAAAAATAACAAAAAGATAATCAGAAATAAATATTAAAAAATAGAAATATAACTATA